GTCAGGTCAGAGCTGCACATAAGGGAGCCCTAAGTAACACAGACTAGCTGCCCTAGTGTGGACTGAAGTATGGCTGAGAGGTGGGAGGAGAGTGCTGCTTTTGTAGCCATGAAGAGCAGCAACAGGGTTTTGAAGTGGATACAGGCAGTTACTGAGAGCCTCAGGAGCAGATTGAGCAGAGGCGGGGTGCAGCATGGAGGAATGTAAGTCAAAGCTGGCTGCAGGGGCCCAGCCAAAAGGGAGTTATAGTAATGGAGATATAGGGAGAAAGTAATGAGGGAGCAAGAGAAGTTCGTTTCCAATCTGTGTTTAACCTGAGGACTGAGAAGAAAACGCAGAATGTTTTCGATTTTAACCTGAAAGCTGCACGACACATGATGAACGAACTGTTGATGTTGCTTTGCACGAACATGTTGTTTTGAATTCATTTGCAGATAAATTTGTCTGTGTTGCACAAGTGATGACTTGATTTCTAAAGAAGCTTGTGTTAGTGGCTGCCAAGAGGAAAACACAGAGTGCAGACCAGCCTGCTCTCCCCTGCATCCGTAAATCTTTACGGTCAGAGATCACACCGCCTGCAGGCACTTTCAATAAAAAAGTCCCAGTAAAAGATGTGCATTGGTTGAACATGTCTAGAGGGGACTGGTCAGTCCATCAGAGACACAACCCCCCATTTTCTAACAAACAGCTTCACACACCTAATGACCAACCTGTATGGGAAGACTTTAAAGCTATTTATCACTTGACCATTCTCTCTTCTGTGCAGGAGACCACTGCATGAATTTCAGTGAAGACTTAAATCATACCAAACTACAGTGTGATTTCCTGAGTCCTCTCTGAATAATGTGGACAGTGTTACTTGTTTTTCCCAATTTGTGCTGTAAATTGTGCCAATAAATTCCACTTGACATGAATGAAGCAATTATATGAGGAACATTTCCACCTGATGATGATAATAAACAGAATTCCTGAATGGGTTCAATTGAACTCCACACATACTTTACACAGTTATGAATAGGGAATACTGTCAGTTCTGGATGAAAAGTAGTAAAATACAAAAACAGAATTTTACCATTTGTCCTGCTTATAATGCTCAAAGATAAAGGACTGAGCTGCTGTCGGCATCACAATGGGGGAACCTCTCGTATCCTGTGCTGTGAAAGGCTGACTTGCCTTTGTAGTGGTACAAGAAGCGATGGGAGCGTCTGGCAGATACCTCAGGCCTGGCCGGCGCAGTGAAAGCAGATCTGTGAGGAGGCAAATCTTGAATAATCATAGGTGAATTGGGCATGTTGAGTGATGAAATTTCTTCCACTCTAGTCCTCTCAACAGGGTTACACTCACCACAGTACAGCCATTGTAGAAACCCATCAGTTACTGACAGAGGCCAAATTTCACTGCAGAACAAGGTTGCAAGGGTTTCAAATGGGTCTAAGCTAAAACTGAAGCACAAGTGTGTATGGATTTTAAAGGTTTAGACCACAGAGGTTTGAGGGTTCTCCACCTAAGATAACATTCTTTAAAGTGCTGCTGCCTTAAACTGCAACAGTGCACAACAGTGCCTGAACCTGATTTCTGTGCATGACGTAAAATGGAAATGTGGACATCTTGGGATTGGGTTTGTTTCCCTCCAAGAATGGGTACAGGTAGGAAATGTATATAATCACTAATCCCATCAAAGAAATTCAACTGCATCCAGAAAAATCTGCATTTTATTTTATTTATTTTTAATCATGGGGCAACAAGATTTTCAACCATTTTAGGCTTGGTGTGACCATGCACACTGATTCACAGGCCCCAGAGTGGGCTGATTTGCTCTCCTTCTGGATGTGGATCTGCAGCCATGCGTGAGCCAATTTAGCATGATGAGCACCGGGCGTAGTGTGAAGCTAATGGCTGCATGTCCAAGAGAGCAAATGGATTGTTAGTATGGATTTCTAGCTCTCCCTGGAGTCGTAACAGTTGGTGGGCTCTACACAGGGGTTATTGGCATACTTAAGCCAGTATGTAACTATATAGCCAAGCCTCCTGCTCAGCTATATAGTTACACACTCTGCTGATATCGACAGTGAACAGAAGCCCCCTTAGAGAATGCTAAGAGTGGCAACATGCACTTATGATGGAGTGAATAGAGACTGCAAGCAGTTTACATGATAATTAGGTAGTCATAGAAATTTCTCTGATAATTCTGTAACAAACATATTCAAATGTATTTGATAAATAGGAAATAGATTGCTGTGGCATATGAGGCTCATGTTTTGTATTCATGACGGGGACAGAAGGGGGAATAGAGTGCTGTTACTACAAGAGCTGTTGTCTTCAGCATTTTGGAGGAAGTAGGTAATGAAATCTCCACATGCAGCTGTGACAAGTGTGAGATTCCCACTTTTCCACCACCACCCAGGCACAATGACTGGTCTTATATGGTGCTGAAATCTATTTGACATCTGTCCATTTGCGTCAGACTCCAGGACATGTAGCTTTTGTAGTTACAAGATCATTCATCTGCCCTGAAATCATAATAGCCCCTTTCACTGTAACGGCAAATCTAAACTCTTGAATGAATTGGCATCCAGGAGCTACTCTGATCTACAGCCAAATCACCAGGCAGACAACATTTTAGGATGCAGTAAATTGGTGGCTGTAAACATGATCTAGGAAGGATGTGTACTAGCCTGTAGTGACATGGTGATAGATTTGGTGGCTTCTATTTTTAGCCATGCTGATGGTATGATGGTGGTTCTACCTCTTTGGTCTAAACTGAAATATCTCAGCAGCTATTGGATGGATTGCCATGAGATACAGACAATAGTCAAAGGCCTTTAGCTAAGGGCTTCATAAGTGTCTTGTAAGATTAATCTATTACAAAAAGCAGATTTTTTTTTCCAAGTTGCTTTTGTCTCAATCATAAATCACTACCTCTCTTTTCCATACTGACTGTTTTCACAGTCATATTACTGTAGCTTATAGACATGCGGCTAATACTGGACCTCGATGTGGAATTCATTTCTTGACTTTTTAGAGGTAAAAAACCCAGTCACTTTGGTTTTTCTCCCATGACCCTCTCACATGCCTCCATTTAAATCCATCTTTCAATCCCACATCGTGAACCCGTATATCAGGAGGCAGCTGAATGAATTGCTGCTGACTTCCACAGATGCAGTGTCATGCACGTTTAGCTTTTGGAGACATTCATAGTTAATGCCCCTAACCCCCATCAATTTGTGAGGAGAGATTGAGTTTCCAGAGCAGCATGGAGCATGTGGTAAAACTGACTGCAGCACATGCACTGAAGTTTGCTTTTGAGGGACTTCCAGGCCAACATAGTTAGGAGGCTCCAGGTCGTCTTGTCCGTGGGGCTGTCTGACCCCTGTGGACAGAGGGGGCCAGTGGTTGACTTCTGCAGTTTACATGTGTTGTCATATACTTGCAGATGAGATGCACACTATGAGTAAAACACTCAATGCAAGGTTTCCTCTCTCTATGTGCTCCTGCAGTGAAGTCGCATTTTTCAGAAGAGCAACAAAAGGTTTTCATCAATCTGGGGCTCAGTGGTAACCAAACTCCAAAGCTTACTTCACTGAGCCCTAAGGAAAGCAGTGCTCACTTCGCTTGGCTCACAACCAAGGAATAGAAAAACTACTGCAGCCTTCAGAAAAATCATTATTCTGTTACTGAAGTGTTTTGCTTGGTACGGCATGATATATATTAGACAACAGAAAAATATGTTCATTTGTCAAAGATGATTGTAGCTGCACTAGTTTAGTTCTAGTTTTTAAGGGTCCTCACGCTTCGTACAGATGTCTTCAGAAAGTTTTATTTTTCTCTCTCTGTTTCCTCAGACACCGTGAAAACTACAGACAAAGTAATGATAAAGAATCTTAAATGTGTACAAATAGAGGCAAATGAACAACATTAAGCACAAATACAACATATAAACATTTTACTGTTTGCGCCTCTAAAACCATGTGCAGAAAATAACTTTGGGGCTGTATGTCTCTTCTCTGTCCGAGCCAACTTCCCATTCATGACATTTCAACCAATTCCTCAATAGTAATAATAACTCATTATTAATAACAAACATAAACCCACTTCTCAAATGAAACCTGTCATTTGGACAGTTACAATGATGCTTTTTCTACACAGTGCCCTGAAAAATCACTTTGATCCAATATACAGGTGAACTCGAAGGATATCCATTCAGTAAAACGGGGTGAAACAAAGGGACATTATGCTCTGGAGGCAGTGTTCCTTATTGTCCTTTTCCTGTTTAAATGTTCTCAGCCGATTTCATGTGAGGGATCCCCACCTGCTTGCTGAAGTGTCAGTTCTGCACAGTGCAAATTGCTGCTCTTTACAAGACACGACTAATTTCTACTCAAAACTTCGGCCTCTTTCCTCTGACATGGGAACTGCTTGATCTGCTTTTATTTGTTAAGGACTTCACTGATAGCTGAAGTCTATGAGTTCAGTTCACACAAAGATTTTTGGCTGTAAAGTGTCTTTTCTGACTTATGAGGTTATATTAATATCAATTTGTCCTGTTGTTGTTATGATGAAATGTAAGGCCGCAGGCATTCATAGATGCCTGCCAAAGTATGACTTGTATATCCAGAAAGTGGCAATAATTCAAGTGCTCAGAACTTTCTTCTTTACTGCAGAGAAGCAGCGATCCAGCAGGGACAGTGGTTTGCTGGAATCCAGCCTCTTTAAAGTTAGATCACCCTTGCAGCAGTGCGCTTCTCACCCTCTACTAATTCACCTCAGGGCTGACTGTGCTTCTGTACTTTTGCTTCTACCTTCTAGTCTCCTGAGTCACTTTTAAACATAGAGGATGTTTGTCCTGTAAAACACAAATAGTACTCTGCTGCTGACATTTAGTTTTGTATTGTACTGGTGTGCATACTGCTGCTGCACTGAAGATATCATTTTTAGAGGGGGTCACACAGATTTTCCAGTTCTGAAATCACAATAATGTGAATGTGTTATCTGAAGTTTAGATGAAGCTGTGGAACAAGTACAAGGTCACCAGCATCCCTTCTCTGGTGTTTGTGGATGCAGCTACGGGGAAGGTGGTGTGTCGGAATGGTCTGCTGGTGGTCAGAGATGACCCTAAAGGTGAGAAAACAATGTGGAGAACACGATAGAAATGTCTTTATGTCATCATCTCTTCTGTGGAAGCTTTAATGACATAGACATCTTCACATATGTCATCACGAGGCATCATGAGACATTTAGATAAACCAAAATGTAGCGAGTGCAGTAACTAAGGTTACACCTGGATGCACATTGACAGAACTATCGGACTAATGATGTCTACCAGGTGCCTGGTCAGAGCTCCCAGTGGGGACACTGCAGTCCTCCATCCTTCAGTATTTAGCTAAACATTTTGCAATAACTTTCTCCCTCGTTTGTGTTGATGCGACTGTAATTATATGGTGCTGCCAGAATATTATAGCATGTCCATTTCTCATTCCCTCATGTAAAACCCTATGATTTCTTCACTTTGAAGTAGAGACAGAGAATTAACAAGAGGGAGCCTACATTCTCTTCCTGTGCAGAAGATGTCCTCTGTGGCTGAGAGGACCTCACTATTTCAAAACACTGCCTCTTCATACCCTGTTTGGTCAGTGTGAAGGGAAAAAGTGCCATTAGTCATGTGAGGAGGGAGAATAGCGGCACTGTGGCAAAAGAACGGCGAAGCAGAATGGATTTTGCACGAGGACTGTGACAGATTTTACTGTCTGGCTAATGAGAGCCATTCCAGGCCTCCAGTGTTATTTCCATGATTCATTAACCATTCTTCCAACTGGATGTGGCTACAGAAGAGATTAATCTCTGGCCTCAATAGCAAAGATGTACATGGACATGTGATTAGCCAGCATTTTCTAATGATGCAATCACTTTCAAAGAAAAATGGGCCATTGTTGTTGTTTTTGTTCTTTTTTTACTGTATATTTTGCTCAATTTTGATGCATTAGGCAGACTGAGAGCACTTTGACATGGCAGATCTATTCAGCAACGTTAGCAGAGGAAAAGGGCAGTAAAAGTTTGCAGTACATCTACACTGGGAGGGGTGAACAATTGAGGACCCTGTGCCTTTCACTCTTCATGAAAGGCCTGACATGAGTGGCGGCAGACCAGCCTGCAGCGTAAAGATGGAGTGCACTTTTACAATCAGGCCAACAATAAACGGCCACGCCATTGCAGTGCAGACCTGTCTTTCCTGCCTAATGAAGCCCTGGACAACCGCACTCACATAAAGAGGCCATTATAAACCAGCTATACAGGGTTTTATTTATGATTACCCCCTTTTTAATTCGGCTGCACCAAATGCGTCTCTAGAGCTCGATGGTAACAATAAAGACACCTTGAAAAGGAAATGAAAAGTGTGAAAGAGAGCATGAGGGAAGGATTTCTGGCAGCCCTGATGTCTGATACTATTAAGAGGCAGGGCTTTCAGTCACCATTAAAACTGTATTTTGATTCTGCTGTGTTATCAAAAGCAGATCACAGAAAAGCCAGTAAGTAATGTATATATGACAAGTACAAATGCTGTGACACCAACAGAAAAAGTGTGTCTGGGTTACAGCTACAACAATTAGTCAACTAATTGATTGAAAATTAACTGGCAACTATTTCAGTAATCTATTCATTGTATTTTCTGGCTTCCACAACTGTAAACTGAACATCTTTCCTCTTTGGCCTGTTGGTCAGACAAAACAAGATGTATGAAGATGTCACCTTCTGAAATACTGGAATGAGTATTTTCACCATTTGTGATTTGAAAACAACTGTCAGATTAATTGATACTAGAAATAACTTGAAACAACTCAAATGGTGTGGCTCCAGGGTTGGTTCTTAGGGCACAATACCCTATGGCTGTGGTGATTATGATCCCATAACCTTTTCCCTATTGCCACTATGAGTACAATAATTTTTGTATTGGTGCAAAGTCTAGCTACAGCCTCACGAAGCTGCTAGCATGGCTGCTAACTCTTGTTTTATCCTTTCCATTATGCTATTTTCATTGCCCACTCCACTTTCCTACCCTCTCCCAGGTCTGGAGTTCCCCTGGGGCCCGAAGCCATTTGCGGAGGTGGTGGCAGGGCCTCTGCTCAGGAACAACAGGCAGACAACAGACAGCAGCTCTCTTGAGGGCCACTATGTGGGAGTGTACTTCTCAGCACACTGGGTGAGTGCAGAGAACAGAGATGGGACAAAGAAGACCTTTTTTTTCCCCAACTTGTCAGGCCAACTGTAAAAACACAGAGATATTGCAGAGAAGAAAGGGCAGAGGGGAGCAGGAGGGTGGAGGCAACTCCATTGTGTTGGTGTGTTTACATTAGCAGTGGTCAACTGTCCCAGTCAGTCCTTTCACAATCACCTCTCAACCTTTTTAAAGTTAGCATCGGTCACCACACCCCACTGACATCATCACTATTGTCTCACAGTAGACTGTTCCAAATGACATGCAGAGCAGGTGGCCAAGGCCAGTCAGCACAGCAGCTGCCAGAGCCGCAACCTCAGAGAGCGGCTGGTTCAAACCCCAGACCCATACAAAACTGAAAAGGACAAGTCACAAAATCACATTCCCCTTGGTTACTTGAGTAACTTTATTTGCTATTAAAGTAATTTTACAAATATGCAATGCCAGCATCTGGCACAAGCTGGCAACTTTACAGTTTTGGTTGACTCTCACGGATGATGTCATTTTCAGCTGTGTTCAGTAGAAGAAAAAAAACTCTAGTAACCAACTGGACACCAAATACCCAGCACCAAACAGCAGATGCAGATAGCGACAAGCTGGTGAACATAGTGGAGAATTTAGCAGCTAAAGCTCGATAGATTTCCATTGGTAGAGACCAAAAATAGAGCTAAAAGAGAGAGAACACTGGACAGTGTCCAGAAACACAACTCCAAATTAATGCTAATGGTACTCCATGTGTAAATAAGCAACTGTTTACTGATAGATATGTTCACCATATCAACAGTGCAAAGCCATACCATATCACTGTTATGTCTCCAGTTGTTTCCGCTGCCCCCAAGTGGCCCTACAAACATAGTACGGCATTGCTTGTTAAAGCGGCTCTAACTAACTAGCACCCTCTAACTTTTGATTGTTAGAGAGTAAGTGAGTGAGTGAGTGAGAGTCCAAACGAACTTCAGCAGTACCCCCTACTTTTCTCAGTCCACTCCTTTTTGCCCCCTTCTGCCCTATCTGTGAAACTACGTCATATATGGTCACTACAGACAGAGACTTGGCAGTCAGGCAGCTCAGCGGTAATAAGCGGCTCCAGAACTAACACATATAGAATAGAACCCACAGAGCCTGTGGTTTTCAGTGGCATTGCAGCAGCAAGGGTCCTTTTCCATATCTAAAGCAGTAATACAAACAAATTATACAGAAGAAGGTTTTTTTCCCCAGTAATATCAATACAATATTAATGGTGTGGCCACTATTGCATTGTGCTCAATGTTACATTCTTGACATGTGAAATGTTATAAGGTAACCATGAGTTGTATGTGAAACAAGAAATGTCATGTTACCCTTAGTCAGTTGTGTTGATGGTGTAAATTTTAACATCTCCCTAAAAAGCTGTGTTATGTCTGACATAATGAACTGTGTGGCCAGGACCAAAACCAAGTAAAAATTAGCAAACTGAGCAAAATTATTTTATTTGCTAATCCAGGAAAATGCTTGGGTTTCCACTAGTTGGACAGCAAAACGCTAACGTAACAGTCAGTTGGAATGACTTGAAATCACAACCTGAATAATTTAGTAGAAAGGTACAAAACTGAAATGCTAATATTAGTTTCCTAATGATGCCGATGGTGCGGTGTGGATTTTAAAGTGGACATGTCATGCTAATTTTGTTCATTTCCGGCCATTTAATGTTAAATCTTGGGTACCTCTGGATTATCTTTGCACCCATCATAGCACCAGATAGCCTGAAATTATTTCAGAATGATAAAACAGGGAGAGTCTCCTCCTGAAAATGAGAGGATAGTTGGTGAATACACACAACTCTTGTTGCAGGTGTTGTGTTGAATATGTTTTTCCCCTAACCTGAATCCTAACATTGTCCTAACCACAACCACTAAGGGGGTTGCTATATGAAACAGAGTTTTGAACAGGAGAAACACATCTCGACGGGGGAACGTTTTTCGGCACAAGACCTGTCAGGAAACCAGGACAACGGACAAACAAAAAACACTGACAAATAAGCTACATTCTTGACAGTGACAATACCTCAATTCCTACCTGTCATGTTGGAAACAGAATATGAAAGTGGACAACATGACAAACTGCAGGACCATTAATTAATTTGAAATTCTCCTCCATAGATAGGTAAACAGCGGTATATGTACAGATGAAAAGAGATTTGTAACACTTTAAACAAAGAGGATAGTTAACAAACCCCATATTTTAACTGGTATAATGCAGACATAAACTTACCATTAAGTCCCACTGAGTACTAGAAACTTCAAGGTCAGTAAATTCAACCAGTGATCGCTGCATCTTCCCTTACAAATCCCTCGCATTACAGGCAAGCACATACACATAAATTCCCAACAGATAGCCTTGTACCAACAATAAAATCATGGATTGTTAGAATTCTCTCGCCAACCAGCAAAACATCACATGCCACATGCACACTGGCCTCAAGCAGTCAAAACAAACAGCTACTGTGCTCCAGGGGAATCCAGCGTTAATGAGCTGATCATTCACTGCCCCAGGGGTCTTCACTGACCAACTGCTTGTAGGTTAGACCCTGTCAGGTAAAACAATAAGTCTGTGTACAGGAACATTCCCGGGCATGCCGTAACCTCAGGTCCTATATTTTTCTCCATGTCTTCTGGTCACAGTGCAGCAGCAGGAGGTAAAATATTTCCATAAGACCATGTGCAGTCGAAAAATCCCACTTTTAATTTGGCACTGGTGGATGTCAGGCAAACTGATATGAATGTGCACAGCCAGGAGAATACGACCATTCAAGGAAACTTCTTCATAAGACTTTACATAGTAAAAAAAAAAAAAAAGTTTCACCAGCAAGAGTTCACAAGACTTGTACAAACTGTTGCTTCTGCATAGAAGTACAACATAGCTACACCTCGTTTTTTGAGCTTTCAGTCACGTTTAAGATGATAATTCACCATTGTAACATTGATCTATCTGAATTTGTGCTAAATCTTAGTTAATGCAGTTTTAACACTGCAGAACTTCATGACATTAATAATATCGATATATTTGACCAAATACTTCCATTGATAATGTTCCAATATTTATATATAAGATATTGTGCATCACAAACTTCCCATACAGATTGTAGCATTTATTGTTAATTCAATTTATTACATATTAATATAATATACAGTATTTGTATTTTTCAGTTTAATGTAATGTCATTTCCTTAAATATTGCCATCCTTGCTCTCACTGGACAGTTGCTGAAAGCAAACTTCTAGCAGGTGATTAAAATACATTACCCCTGAGGTCAGTAGGTTATTTGCCTTGTCTGATATTAACAATCAGCATTTGTCCTTTAGAGTATGTTCACCAGTAGGAGAGCACAGAAAGGAGAAAAAGCTGAGAGAGAGAACACAGAGCATGGAAGTAGGGTGGAAGTTGGACTAGTCTGTTTAACTTCCTGCTGCCATGGTGAGCTGACATCATCTTAATGCCAGCCATACCAGCGCTCTCCAAACACACACACTGAAAACAAATACTTTCTCGAGCTAGAGTATTACAGTGAGATTAGTGGTTGGGCTATATTTAAAGAAAGTGGATACTAAACAAGAGGGAATTACTGGTTTGTACGAAGGTGTTTGGTGATGAGTTGTGGAAATACCCAAAACATTTGAAGCTGCTGCTGCAGCAAACTGTCATTTGCCTCATTAAGTACAGTATAAATTCATTCATTCACTTCCTTTTCTATCCTCTGTCTCTGTGTGCTAGTGCCCGCCATGCCGCAGTCTGACCCGGGTCTTGGTGGAATCCTATCGAACCGTCAAAGAGTCAGGTCATAAGTTTGAGATCGTGTTTGTCAGTGCTGACAGGTGAGATCATATTTATTGACACACATGTCTCTGCCTGTCCAGGACACAAATAAGGTAACAGTCAGAATCACCAAATCATGTTCTCCAGGTCCGAGGAATCCTTTAAGCAGTACTTCAGCGAGATGCCATGGTTGGCAGTGCCATATTCAGATGAGGCTCGACGATCACGACTCAACAGACTCTATGGAATACAAGGTATTTTACAGCAACCTCTTGTTTCAATCAATCATACACTTTATTGTAGTATGTTAAAATACAAGGAATTTGACTCTAGCTCAATGGCCCCCAATGTGCACCAAGTAAAACTGAATAAGAAGTAAAAAAGCAAGCAGACAAACAACCATCTATTTCTAAATATGTACATATATAGAAGTTAACAATGAGATATTTTATGTACAGTGATTACATCTATTAGTTATTGCATTCTGGTGTTTGCCGTATCTTGTTTTACATATAAGCATGGATTAACTGTTCATGAGAGTGATGGCCTGAGGGAAGACACTGTCCTTGTGTGTGGTTGTTTTGGCGTACAGTGACCTGTAGCGCCGTCCAGAGGGGAGGAGTACAAACAGTTTGTGTCCAGCATGTGAGGGGTCCTCCTGAAGTTCACTGTCATTTCCACAGTTTTCAGCATCTTCAGCTCCAGGTTGTTGCCACCGCACCACTGGGCCAGCTGTTCAGCATCCCGTCTGTGGGCCAACTCATCACTGTCTTGAATGAGGCCAATGACCGATGTGTTGTCTGCAATCTTTACAGAGGGGTCCCCTGAGGTGCAGTCATTGTACTGATAGTCTGGGTGCAAGAAGTGGGGGTTTTTTCCAGCCTCACCTGTTGATTCCTGTCTGTCAGAAAGCTGTTGATCCACTGACAGGTGTGGGTAGGCACAGTGAGCTGGGCCAGTTTGGAATGGAGGATGTCCAGGATGATGGTGTTGAACGCTGAACTGAAGTCCACAAAGAGGACCCCCGTAACCGGCGATGTTCCTCCACAGTGACGACAGGTCATTAGCCAAACATTGATTTTGCGTCCTTTCAGAGTAGCTACTCTGATAGCCTCTGTCAGTGTGTTTCTAGTCTGGTTATAGAGGGTCTCATCCCCACTCCTTTTTGGCACAACAAAGCTGCTTGAGCTTCGCTGTGAACCAGGGCTTGTTGTTGTTGTATGTGCAGAAGGTCTTGGTGGGCACACATGTCCTCACAAAACCTAATGTATGATGTCACAGTGTCAGTGAGTTCATCCAGGTTCATCCAGCCACACATACACTCCAGTTTGTGCAGTCAAAGCAGGTCTGTAGCTCTGACTTTTGACCACAGGCTTTTGTCTACAGGTTGGGATGAGATGGATCATGCACTGGTCCAACATCCTAAGGGCTGCACAGGGGACAGAGCGATAGGCATCCTTAATTACAGTGTAGCAGTGGTCTGTGTTTTTGCCCCTAGTGGTACAGCTGACGTGCTGTCTGTATTTGGGCAGTTTGTGAATAAGGTTTGGATGTTTCTGTTCTATGAGAATTATCCGGTTAGCTAGGAGCTACAACTCATTAACACTTGTATGGTAAATGTCGTTTCAGGTCTTCTGAGAGGACAGAATTTTTTTTTTTTTTTTGCCGGGTTTAGATGTATAACACGCTGCAACACGGACACAGTGACTGGCAGTTCTTTGTGCTGGGCTGGCAAACAGCAACACAGGCTTGTCCTGCAGCCTGAGGAATGTGGGCCGGTTATGAAGTCTTGCTTGCTGCAGAAGTCCTGCACCCCCCCCTCTGTTTCTTGTTCTTCTCTCTGAATATGTGCAAAGTGCCATGGATGAAGTTAGCAAGAGCTCGCTGGTGGCCTCTCCTGCAAAGAATGTGAGGAATGCACAGAGGATGAGTCAACACTGCCCCTCTCCTGTGCTCAAACCACTGCGGTTCATGATGGCCCCCACCTCTGTTGGCTCAGTCTACATGCGCAAACAAGAATACACTGCTGATAGTGGAGGGATGGTGTTCTTTTCTGATAAGGCTGTTAACGATGTAAGGAGAGTGAAATCAGAGGGATGGCCAGAGCTGATGAGAAGGGTCATGTAAAAAGTAGGAATATCAGAAATGGGATCAGACAGAGATAGAGAGGTAAAAGTCAGCGAAGGGAAAAAAGCTGGTCAGAAATGTCTAGAACACTCTCCCAGCCAATAAGACTCTCAGTGGGAGAGAGAACAGTATGTACCACAAAGCCATGATGAACAGAAATTCCCCAGACCCCCAGACCACCTCCCAGGCTGCTGCCCATTTTTCCCCTCCTCTCATCCTGAGCTCTTCTGTCTTCCTCTCCAGGTATTCCCACGCTGATTTTGTTGGACACAGAGGGTCACATGATCACACGACAGGGCCGCGTGGAGGTGCTGAATGACCCGGAGTGCCGGCTCTTCCCCTGGCACCCTCGGCCCGTGCTCGAGCTCAGCGAGTCCAACGCCGTGCAGCTCCACGAGGGGCCCTGCCTCGTCTTGTTTGTGGGTGAGTACATGGACATTTATGATGCAGCCCCTGCAGCCTAACATGGGGCTTTGTCTGAATGAAGTGGCATTTATATGGAAGTTGTTGAATATCAGAATCTAGAACATTCTTCCAGTGTCAAATAGGTCCAAAGTTCTGTGGGACGTTTAACCCATTTATATGCTAATACAGAAAAGATGCAAAGAAGTAGGGGGTGGGGGGGGGGGGCTGACTACCTCTGCAGTTTTACCGTCTGTTATATTATATGTAAATCTGCTGCTGACTGTTTTTTTGCTGGGTGACCTCATCACCTTTGCAGTACTGACCATGTATACCTCATATGCTATTTGCACCTCATCACCTGGTGATGTGGAACCATCTGACAATCTCCTATTGTTTGCACTTCTGTCACTGACTGTAAACAGTTCTGAGTCACAGCTTATTGGCTGTACCGTTTAGATTTATCCTAATTACCTAAATGTTATGGCACCCAGTACTAGGTGAGAGAGAAACGGTATTTCAATTTTCTGTATGTCCTGCACATATGGTGAATTGACAGTAAAATCCTTGAACCTTGAACTTTGAGATCATCTGCCCCCCAGTCATCTCTCCTTCCTTGCTTCAAATTTCACTCAACTGTGCATTTTTCCTCTCCCAGGTGGACTTTTTCATGCTTTACACATATTTCTGTCTTTCTTTGTTCATTCAGATGCTGAGGAGGAGGGGGAGCTGGAACCAGCCAAGGAGCTGATTCAACCAATAGCGGAGAAGCTCATGGCCAAGTACAAGGCCAAGGAGGAGGAGATGCCGCTATTATTTTTTGTGGCTGGAGAGGTGAGAGAAACTACTTGAGGCCGCTTGACACCTAGCTTATACTCACCGTTCTCACCCATGCACCCAGTGGCACGCGCCAAATATGACATCACAATTGGTGTCGTTTAGGCCGGTTTGCGCCCCTCCCAATTTTTGTCACTTGACGCGCACCATCTGCAGCGCAAGGCTGGAAAACTGGGAAATGGATGAGGTGGGGGCAAAAGTGTGTGAGTAGGTTAACCTCTGCAGATATCTGTATGACCCTGTACAGACATCTATGGCTTGGCTAGGTAGAAAGCTAGCTAGCTACAACACATGTTGTTTACTATACAAATGTGCATTCAGCTGTTCTGTAGTTTCAATGTCTTCTGGCTGCTAGCTGCAGAACGTGGTTCCTGTACTACATCTACTACTATTCCAGTACTGTAGATTGTGTCTTTCTCAGCAGTGACACCTGTCAACTGATGCTGGATTTTTCAGGCCAATACCTACAGTCGCATAAACCTGATAGTAATTTAGCAGCTGATAAAAATTTCTGTTACACAGAAACAAACATTTTGATTGGGACCCCTAAAAGCACCGTGTTTGCAGTTTACCCCTCGGGCGGAGTTGAAAAATAATGTCGTCGGCATCATCTGGTGGACAGTCTGGTGCTGATGCTGTAGTGTACAGTGGGTTGTTAGAGCTTTTTCACTGAAAAACCATAAAACCAAAACATTGATCTAAAAGACACAAATTCTCTATAGAGCTGAGGGAAACTGTGTTGGGTGAAAATGATCTGTGGGGTTGTCTTTTGATCCAGTGCGGTTTTTACAGCTGTTTTAAATGATGTGAAGTGCTGTACAAAGATTATTTAAAGAGACCCATTTAAGCAATCCATATAAAAAACAAAAGGGAACCAAAAATCAGTAATAACCTTCCATCATATCTTAATTGCAGTTTCTTGTTATCTGCCTACAGATACACTCAGGATTTAATCACATATTCTAAGTCTCTGGTTTGTATCCGCACTCAACACCTTGGCAACTGTCAGAATTACAGCATTAAAGACCCATCTTTTAGCTGCTTTATAGTGTCTTGCAAGAGAACCACTCACTCCTATCCATGACCCACAGTTCAAGCATGTGCTTCTGTCACCATGGGTAAAACCAGAGTGTGTCAGCAGATATTCTCTACTTGCTCACACTGCCTCCCCCTCATCCTTGCATCTCCTGCTCCATCTCTGTCTTTGTCTTCCCTGTGTGGGACAAACCATGGAGTTTTCATTACTCTTGTTATCACATGCTGTTCCACCTCGACCTTTCCAGAAGTGGTGAATTTAACAGCAGCAGACATAATTACCAGATTAGCTACCTCTCATCAGTTCGCTTGCTCTCTGCCCTCTAGCTCCCTTTGCTCCCAGTTCTCTTTCTGGGAGGACAACTCTGATTTCTCCTGTTACACACCAAAGTGCGGGCTCAGGTTTCGGCTATGGGGCTTTTTGTACATGTGCTAAGTGTGTGTGTGTGGGTGTGTGTATGTGTATGTGTATGCAGCGGCACTCCGCCCTGATGTCAGCCTTGAAATGACACTTGTATACGTACACAAAACAAGAACAGCTCTTGACATGATACTGTTTTGTGTGCAGTGTCTGTGTGCCAATATTTATTTGACCTAACACAAAGAAGCATTCTTGCAATGGAGGACTGCATTGATTCAGTGGATTGTTGTGTTATAGCTGCAGTCTAGGTTTGCTTTTCTCCCCATGTGGCACACATGCTAAGCCAGATATCCTTACAACCGTGTAGCATAGGTATAATTTCCCCACTCTAGTTCAGACTGGGGTCATGGTCGGATATCACTTCCCTTTTCAGGCTTTGGGCTCAGACTCCTGCGTTCGCCCTGGTAGCTGCATGCTCCCTGCCAGGCCAGCTGCTGGGTTTTCTGTGTCCATGAGACAGCAGTATGTTGGCAGTCTCTCTAGGGGAGGCCAGGCTGGGCAAAGTGATACAAGCTCTTCTTACCCTACTGAGAAGACCACACCAGTGTAGTATATTATAAAGAAAGGAATATCTGTTCTTTTATTTCTACCATGTGCTGGTTGTTGCATGCAAAATGAGATCTGGTGGTATTATCCAATCACATAAGAATTTAACTGATTTATTTGTGGCAAGCAGCAGTGACTGTTGCCTGTGAATCTGCTCTTCCAAGCTTTCTCTTCCTGTGCTTGATTTTGTGTGAATGTGTGTCCCAAAAGAGAAACAATGGCTTCACCCTTGGATTACAGTAGGTTGCATAAACACTCCAAGGCTGCCCTTTAAGCAAATGCTCAAGTCTAAACACTCGGTTTCTTTCTTCTTCTCTGTTTTTGATGAAATACAGAGAAGAAAAAGTTTCTGTGACAGTTATTAATAATAATTATATTTTTAGCCATGCCATTGGAAGTCTTAGCTCACTTTGGTCCACACTGAAGTGTCATAAAACCTTTTGGGTGGTTTGCCATGAACATTTGTACAGACATTTAAAGGTTTTGAAGGATGAATCGTAATGACTTTGAAAATCCTATTGATATTTCTTCCAGCACTACTGTGAAATCACATTTAGAGCTGAAATAATTAGTTGTTTGAATAATTGTCTTGTTTTTCAAGCAAAGAAATAATAACAATTGGGAAAAATTGCTTCTGTTTTTTGGTCTTACATTAATAATTTGAATATTTTGGACTACATTTGCAAGAGATTTCATGACTTTTCCCGTTTACTCATCTGCGGTTTTGAGTGAAATGTCTCGGCAGCCATTAAATGAATTAGCATGAAAGTTCGTAGAGACATTTTTATCCCCAGCAGGATGTTCTGTATCACTGTGGTGGTTACTTGTCCTATAGTGCCATCCTCAGGTCAAGGTTTTAGTGTGTGCGCAGTTCCAAGATTTATGACCAAATAACCTGCCAGCCAAACTTATAACGTTCCCATGAGCCTCAGCTGTTTAGTGCAAATTAGCATGACTTAGCATGAACCTTGTAAACATTATATTTACTAAATATAACACGTTAACTTTGTCATTTTATGTTAGCATTTAGCTCACAGCTAAGAGTTGCTAGTATATCATGTAGACATTTAATATTGCTTAGTTCTAAACATATATTTACTCAGAAAAAAAACATTGTTTTGACTGTAAGCCACCCTTAACAATTAACAATCGGATATATTATTCTATTTTCAAACGGTGTCAATATTTTAAAATGAGTATGGGTATTTAGCTCATGAGGAGTGCAGCTCTATTTCTTTTTATGTGGGATCACAAAGAATTTGTGGTTTTATCACTATTTTTATCGTGGACTAACGGTTAGGTTCTTCACTTGTTTAAATCTGCTGGCTGTTGATCACACATTTGTACACATCAGGCAAGAATGTTTCCACTTTCAGCATTATAAACTGAGGAGCATTTACTGTTGAGAATATCCAAAATTTCACAATGATTGAGTGTTCCTTGGGACATCAAAGCTGGCCAGTGAGATGAACGCAGCTCAGAGGCCAGCAAGGCCACATGGTTAACATGCTGAGCCTTATCAGGACTAGCGTAGAGGCCCTTTGTCTTTTTTGTTCTGAGCTTAGCTGAGCTGTGGGGGTCTGCACCTCACGCGAAGCTATTTACGCAAGCAGGGAAGCCACACAAACTTTCTACGAAGGCAAGAACTGATGCAGAGATTATATCTTCTCATATAGGAGAAGCTGAAAAGGCCACAGGGACAGACTGTGGGATTGTATCACAGAATGGCTGAAAGGGAAGGCTTTTGTTTGTAGCAGGAGAATGCTGCAGTATTTCGCTTGTAAAAACATTCTTTACTGACAGCTGACATCTGTTAGTATTAAGTGGTCAATGTGTGGTGATTGTGCAGCATAATAAAATGGGCTGCTTTTGGAAGTTGGCTGCCTACAACAAAATACCACACTGCATCTCATCTGTTCCATCTGTTAGTGGTTTGCAAAGCAGGGGTCACAGACTTCATCTTGGTGTAGCCCGTGCATCCTTTTTAGGTAGCAGCCCGGCCCAGATGTTGAATGAACAGCCTGAGAGGTGATTGTGTGATTTGATCTGTTTAGCAAGAATAGCTTTTACTTTCCTGATAAAAGGAAGTCATAATAAATAGGCTGAATGGAGGGAATGCTTGAGTGTTATATGTAGGTGGAAATCCATCTTCAAGTTTGTTTTGACAAAACTCACACTATAAATCAGTAAATGTATCAGTACATCAGAGTCACTGCCTCCACGAGAAGTTCAGTTCTTTGTTGTAGTGCCACCTTCTGGTCCTCTCTGCTTAGCTCTGCCTTCTCAACATAATCTTTTCCATATGAAATTGATTTTTAATCTTTGCAAGTCTCCCTTTGAGCCAGCATACTGAGGGGAAATCAGGTCATGCTGTCATGAAGAATAAGATTATGGTAGCTATACACAACTGTGTGACCTCAAAACAAAACACATGAAATCCCTTTTGACTTGGAGAACATGCGGGACTATAACAATGGCTCTCTCTCAGAAGCACTCCCAGCTGTAAGTAAAGCTGAGTTACAAAGCAGTGTGATTTCTTATTGAGCCTCCATAATTAATAGCTCTTTCAAGCTTGCTTGGAAGTTGTTGAAAGGCTGTCGGGTAGCAAGTCTTCTGTTACCTACTGTACAGCTATAGGAGTTGTAATCCTGACTTGTTATAGGGTGCAAGGTGACATCAAGCCTCAGGCAGAACATGGGTGAAGCCCTTTTTAAAATGACTGCAAACAAATAAAAGTGGAATTCCCACTAGATCAAGCTTGAACATACTCCTTCACTCTGTCTGCTGCTCTCTCACCTGCCCATATGTACAGCACTGTTCAGTTGCTCTGTGATGAGACCTGCATCTGATGGGAGTGAGCTTTTGAAAATGTTAGGAAGCAACTAGGTGGGGACCTGACAACATCCTGCCCTTCAACAGAGCAAGATGTGTGACTGAGTACCGGCTTTCAGGTCTCTGTGGGCAGCCTGCAGGAACACAGTGGAGAGGAGTTTATTATTGTTACTGCTAAAGACTCCGCTAGGCAGGTCTGAATTACAGTCCAATCTTAACATGGTACAGCTCAACTGAAGGGCCCCGTGTGACGAACTGATGATCAGCAGAGAAATGTGCAGTAATGCAAATGTCATGTGAGCATGGGCAGATTATGAGATGGTATAAATCTATATTCTTACTTCTCATGGTACTTTATTTAAATGATTTAAAGAGTGCTAAAGATCTCATGTTGTTCACTTATTTGCATGAAAACAAGACAAAATAATAGCTACTCACAACTGGTCTGTGCATGTGACAAATACACAGCTGTAATCACACACCGGTCAGTGTATTTTTCTTTTTTCTCCGTCTCTTTCACTACAGGATGACATGAGTGATTCCCTGCGAGACTACACTAACCTCCCAGAAGCGGCACCTCTGCTCCCTATCCTGGACATGTTGGCCCGTGCCAAGTACGTTCGCGATGTTGAGGAGATTACGCCGACTGTAGTGGAGCAGTTTGTCAGCGACTTCCTGGCTGAAAAACTCAAACCAGACCCCATCTAAGGAGGAAGTCCAAATGTAAATTGGACATAATGTATGGGGCTCACTCCATCACTAAACCCTGACCTGTTGCTATGCCCCTCACCCTTCCCAGCCTCCCACTCCCCCGTCTGTTAGAGACATGTCTCACTTGTTAGAGACATGTCTCACATGTCTGACATTTTAACTGTTTTTGTTTGTTTTTTTTAGACATGTTCCTCTTTTCATGGAGTCCTCTTTCTCCTGTGGTGCCTTGCATTGACTAGAGTCCCAACACTAATGTATATGTTTTTCTTTTTTTCCACACAATAGCATTTCTACATAGAGAAACCCAGATAATTACCCAGTGGACCTACTTACTTGTTCTGATGCTTTGCTTTCTTTGCATTTTGTCTGCCAGATCCCTGTTTTTCTTTCCTAAAATCTCTGAAAATGTATTTGTAATTCACATGTACGCTTACATGTAAATGTGCTAAACCTCAGTCGGATGTAGATGTAAGCCTTTATGTCCCTATTTAAAGAAAGGAAGAACCAGTGACAGGGGCACGTACAGTAAAGATCATGTTCTACTTGCCTGTAACAGACCAGTGACTGGTGTTTGAAAACCCATGTGTCTTGTTGTGTGTGTATGTGAGTGAAAGTCATCTCCAGCCAGTTGTTAATGGATGATTCTCATCTCAAAAGTCATTATGAGGATTTTCTGTGAAGGTCCCCTAATGAAAAGGCCGGGTTATTTCTGAAGGCACAAAAATGGCATTTGAAAAGTGCTGAATGTGTAAATCCTTTTATTCTATTACTTCAGTCAAGACTTCGCACACCCATAAAAAATTCACTGGCAAGCACAAAGTTCTGTTTATGTTAGGTTTTCTCAATAAAGTTAGCTCTTGGATATGTAAAATACAAACAGTGCATGTCTCTTTGTTAGTTATTTCAGTAAGACTCATGGGCTCAAAGAAACTGAAAGTAAATGTTGCATTTATTATGCAGGTTTTGTTCATGTGCAAACTACAGGTGACGTTGCACTTTATACCACTGTATGTGTGTGCTGGGGGTGGGGGTGGGGGGTGTATTTACATAGATATTGTGGCTGCAGATACTGAGTAGCATATTAACACAAGACTGACATGGTGAGTTTTGGACTTCATAAAAAAATAAATGTGCCTTAAGTGCATACACCTATTAAAGGCTCTTAAGGATTCTACAAATATACACTGGTCAAAAAAAGTAAGGGACCACAAAACAAATTTTTCAAGTTTAAAACCTTTACAAATGTACACTGCGTAATTTCTGCAGAACAAAATGGCTTGGCAACAGTCAAAGGAAACCAAAATCATTAACCCATGGAGGGCTACATTCAAAATCACACTGATAAAGTGAAAATTTGAAATCACAGGCTCATCCAAGTTGTGTGAATTTCATCTCAACTCATAATGTAACTCAGAAGTGTGTGTGGCCCTCGCATCCCTGTATACACTCCCGACAACATCTGGACATGCTCCTCATGAGTCGGTGGATTGTGTCCTGGACGATCTCCTCCCAGACCTGGATCAGGGCTTCAGTGAGCTCCAGGAGAGTCTGTGGTGGTACTTGGTGGCGTTGGACGCCCATCTGTACTCATTTGGATTTAGGACAGGGGAACCTGAGGACCAGTCAACTGTATCGATGCCTTTGTCATCCAAGAAGTGCCATTACACTCTGGCAGCAACAGTGAAATCATGTCATATGCAGACCACCTAATGGACCCTTTTCACATGACATCACACAACGGCCATTGTTCCTCCAATGTGTGTATCCTCACTTCTGTTGGCCAGTGTAATCATACAGCTGCCACAGACACTGGATGATGTTTAACAGATTAGGGATTATTTATTGTGTTACCAGCTAGGACTCCCCTTTAAGAGCTTATGGTCGTGACTGAGAGATGGGAAGCTATGCTACAAGCGGTCAGTGCAGTAATGTGTGCTACTAACCAGTGGAAAAAAGTTACACTAACTTTAGCTTAACAAGCATCTAGATAAGTTTTCAGTGCAGTATACAAAGCATAAGAGGACAAATATGTTCACTGACAAGGCAGAAAAAAATTCCTGTTCAAGTAAAGTTATCTCTGGCTCTTCTCCAACAACAATTTCAAAGAGCCATTTTAAAGTTATTCAGGAGATTCTTCTCATTTCAGATCAGACTATAAAAATGTTGTTACACCAAACTGTCTGGTTTCAAGTTCTCAAATATGAGAATTTGCTCCTCGGCTTTGCTACCTATGGTAGTACACTGACAATCCTGTGGGTTTGGACTGATGGCTGGATACAACTTTGAACCACACTAGGAAACTTTGATAACCAGTTTCATTATGTTGTGAAATTTTATAGAGACAATTATTAACTGAGGGAAACCAGCAGATAAATGAATGAATTGAGTCACACTTCTAAATCCCCAGTTGAAGTTTATTATCAGCACAACAGGATATAGGATGTTAAACATAGGTTATTCCTGTAAAATACACACTTTAAGTCACACTGGCATATTTAGACTGAACATTATGAAAACTACCTCTCAGCTTGAGACTTCAGTTTCTTTTCAGATGTCTGCATTAGTTTTAACAGTTGCTTCCTGCCCTCAAACAAAAGAATACTTGCTGCCATGGCTGAGTTCAAGCTGTCCATATCAGGAACAACAGGTATAAAGAGCCTGTGACCTGCAGTTTTCTCAGCCAACTGCACTGCTTCTACACTCAGACCATGGGTCTCTCCACCAATCACAAGAGCAGTGGGACTCTGAGCCCAGCTCTCATGGTACCGCTTGGCGTCCACTCTGGGGAGTGATAGTCCCTCATCTTCAGATTCCCACTCAGAGTCATAGTCTTTTTCCTTGTTGATTTGTGAATCTTCTGTCTCTCTACTTCTGCCAGCGTCGCAGCTGCTGTCGGCTACATGGACAGTCACAGGTGTAGGGAGATGATTCTCAATGTCATCCCAGTTTAGACTAGGAAAGATGGGAAGGCGGAAATGGGCGCCCATTGCTGCACGAAGAACTTTAGGCTCCCAAGCATCAACACAACCTGACAGCGGGAAAAAAAGTGAACAGATCTGATAAACCACAAGCAATGAAGCCAAGCCATCTTGAAGGGGTGGAGTTCATTTGTTCACAGCTTTAAATGATAAAATGAGCATACCCTTGGTGAGCAGGACATTATGGCAACCAGCAGCAGCAGCAGATCGCAACATAGTTCCAAGGTTCCCAGGGTCTCGGATGTTGTCACATATCAAACTCAAAGGCACAGAATGGCCTCTGTTTGCGAAGTTCAACCGTGACGGGTCTGGACGAGAAAATATGGCTGTAGAGGAAGAAGTAGTCAGCAGCAGCACAAAGCTTTATAACAAAGCTTTATAACAGTTTAAAACCAAAAATGTGTTTGTTACCTATTACCCCTTGTGGGGCCACCAGGTCAGACCAAATTTTGATATCCTCAAACTTGACTTTAACTAGAGTGGCCCTTTTCAGCTTGTCTAAGGGCAACTCTCGGAGTCGATCCACCATACTGAAAAACACCGTCTGTGGGCTGGCACCAGCATCCAGGGCATCACAGATCAAACGCCTGCCCTCCAGGACAATTTTACCCTGGTGCTCCCGAAACGTCCTGGAACGAGCAACACTGACTAACCTCCTGCAGGACAGATGTAGGGAGAGGCAGAGTGAGAGTACAGACAGTGTGACATGAAAAATGATCAGAATTGTGATTATTATTTTGGAAACTGTGTGAATTTTAGGAAGCCATTATGTTCCACAACAACTGAAACAGAAAATGTCAAGTTGAATGGCCGGCATTCAAAGCTTCATTTAAGTAAATATATGGAAGTACTAAAAGCAAATTGTACTTAATGAGTCCATGGCATGCTTTTCCTTGTTTTCTAACTTATCTACAATGTTACAACGATGAATTATCATCTTAGACATGACCTAAAGCTCAAAAAAATGGAGGTGTATGTATGTTCTAGTACTTCTATACAGAAGCAACTCGGGTTTATACATGTCTCACAAACTCGCGCTCGGAAGACTTTTTTTCTAACAAAATTAAGTAAGGATTTCCTTGAATGGTCATAATCTCCAGGCAGTTGTGTGTTCATGTGAGCTTGCCTGACATCCGCCTGTGGCATTGTGAAAGTGGAATTTTTGGACTGCTCAGTTTTGTGGATCTATTTTACCTCTGCTGCTGCACTGTGACCAGAGGATATGGAGAAAAATACAGGTACTGAGGTTACTGCATGTCCAGGAATGTTCCTGGGACTCGCTGTTTTACCTGACTGGGTCTAACCTACAAGCAGCTGGCCTGTGAAGCCCCCTGGGGTGGTGAATGATCAGCTCATCAATGCTGGATTCCTCTGAAGTACAGTACCCGTTTGTTTTGTAAGGAACTGCCAACCCTACCTTTAACTTGTTCACACTGCTGGGTATTTTAGATCTAAAATAATGTAAACATTAGATGTTTTCTAATCCAGAAAGCAAGCAAGGTGGGATGGCCAAGCAGACCCCCCAGAAGCCACAGGTTTACCCTATATGCTTTGTCAAAAATATCAGATTAATCACTAATAAATCCACTGAAGTACATGAACAATCCTCCATCTTGTAGAGATTCGAAATCTATTGTAAAGGCCTAAACTGTTTCAATTTATATTAAGCGCACTTGTTATGTTTTATCAAACTGCTTAATTTTCTGTTCTACGTGTGAAGTAATTAACACACAAAACCTCTGAAAAGGTAGTATTAGGCCTATACAATAATAGAGCAAATGTACTGTAAGGTTGTGACAATTATTTTAACTGACTGGTGTATAAAATGTCAGGAAACAGTGGACAATGACCACCATAATTCCCTGAAGCCCCAGGTAAGGTTTTGATTGTTTTTTTTATGATCTAAATGTAGTAGGGGTCAATAAGGGTCCTAACTAACACGGTGTCCCACTACTTTCTAGTGATAAAATATGATTAACCATTTTGAGTTTTTCCTTCGAATTCCAGTGTTCTGCCCTGAGACAATCACTAATAAATCACCGCTGCCTTCATGCAGTGCTGCTTACGCCAATCTCTTGTCTCCAGGGAAAGCCCTCTCGAAGTGCAGTCCATCAATTTGGTCCTTTGTAACAACGTGGGCATGTTGTGTAGTTGATCGCACATTACTCTTCGCTTTGATAAAACCACTTTCTTCGTCATGCTTTGCTGTAGATGTGACTTTCACCTCCTTCCCTTTCTTCCTGACATCTTGCTCTGCAGGTCGACCCTGGGTTGGCGGGGCCTTGACCACTTTTCCCGTTTCGGTATCTGAAAACAATACCCTGACAGGTTTCCTCCTCAGTCCGCGTACATACCGTTGTGACTTCACAATTATACCATTTCCCCTTGTTAGAAAAGCACCAAGCTCAATGGGGAAAAGACACAACACACTCCTCATGTAGGCAGCCATTTTTGCCCCATCTCTTCTTCTCTGGTGTAATAGATTGGTATACTAGCGCCCCTAGTTGTAGCTTTGCTGATACTACACCTGCGTGTTTAAATTTCATTTAGCTCATCGATTAACAATATATTCATTGGCAAAAATACGTTAGCAGACAAATTACATCGGGTTTTCTTTGTTTCTTTGTTATTCAGCATGTTAAAGGTAATGCTTAACTGTAAAACGCGAGAATGTGAGAATTGAGCATACATAGTTTTCTTAAATTTGATTTTTGAGAAAGGTCGTTGCACCATTATAATAACTATTTTTATTTTGAGCATCTGATATCATATCTAGTTGTATTTGCATTTTATTTACTTATTTTGCAAAGCCATTATACTGACTTTTTTTTTTTTTTAAGTCGGCGATAGAAAAATCGAACACCCAGGAAGCTTAATCGCGCCCCTCCACGTCGAGTTATAGACGCCATCATGGCTTTGAGGCGAGCTCTACATTTTGTTTTCAAAGTTGGTGACAGGGCCAAAACAGCCACATTTTACCGGGATGTTTTGGGCATGAAGGTATTTTTCAGCGTTTCGTGTAATGGCCAGATGTGACTGGTGGTGATCAACCACAGTCTTGCACAGCGTTACGTAGACAATTTCTCTTCTGCCACACACCTGAAACTCGAGTGTGGTTGCATGCTTAATGCCCATTATCTTGTCCCTTCTTATCTGTTTCAGGTTTTACGCCACGAAGAGTTTGAGGAAGGCTGCAAAGCAGCATGCAATGGGTATATATATATATATATATATTTCAAAAATAACTGAACCTTGTACTCGCAGAGTAGGCTACAGCTCTGCATAACAGTTGTTATGAGCTGTTAATATCCCAATACTGACCATTGCCATTTTTCTGTTAATACAGTCCCTACGATGGAAAATGGAGCAAGACAATGGTCGGCTTTGGTCCAGAAGATGACCATTTTGTGGCTGAACTGACATATAATTATGGTGTGGGAGGGTATCAACTCGGCAACGACTTCTTGGTGCGTGACAGTTTATTTGGACACTGCACAGAGGACAACGGTGTACATAGGCCTACGCTTCAAGAGCATTGAAAAAAAGCTATTGTTATTCATGTTCTGGCTTTAGGGGCTCACTCTGCAGTCGAGCCAAGCTGTCAGCAACGCTAAACGTCTGGGGTGGCCCCTCACTGAGGTAGGAGAGGCTCTATATCTGACCCAAGCCCCAGGAGGGTATCCTTTCTACCTGGTGGACAAAGAGCAGCCTCCCACTGGTGAGTGGCTCAGGCTGCATTCATGCATCGTCCGGCATGACATTATCATTGTAAATTATCCAGTGCAATTAAAATGTTTGTAATTCTGTCAGATGGTAGCAAGTAAAATACAGATGCAAAGAGCTGCTTGGTTTAACATGTATTTACAGTAATATTTATTTATGTTTGGCCACTGGACAGACACTGCACAAAGTAAGCACAGCTTAATGATTAAACAACTAATTTAATCATTTAAAAAATAAAAATAATTATTAGCTGCTGCCCTAAAGCCTTTGAGTATGTTTGACAAAAATATAAAATAAAATGACTGCATCATTGACCTGTCCAGGGTGTACCAAACCTCTTGCCCGATCTCAGCTAGAACTGGCTCCAGCCCCCCTTAACCCTCTTTGGGATAAGTGGTATAGATAATGGATGGATGGATAACATCATGATTGTTCATCTGTTTGTTTGTTTATCTGACTCATGGCTGCTTAGCTTTATCATATTTTAAATAGTAAATGACAAAAACGTTGCAATGCAAGACAGTGCATATGACCATGTGCTTCATGCACACAGCTTTTTGTACAGAGCTGAAGACACATGAGCAAGTGCAATCTGGTCAGATGGTTAGTATTCAGCAACAAGCGTTTAGTGAAGTCACTGTAGGAGTTCAGCACTCTGAACTTTTTTTACCACAGGTCTGTAACCTGTGATCTTTTGTTTGCAGACCCTGTTCAGAAGGTTTGTCTTGCTGTATCAGACCTCCAGAAATCAACCCACTACTGGTCTACACTCTTAGGAATGAAGGTGATGGACAGGAATGAGGAAAAGAAAACAGTGCTGATGGGATTCTCAGACACACAAGTGAGTCAAGTCTCAACAAAACAGAATAAATGTTTGCTTTGTTTTCAGACTTGAAGGAGTTATAAATTGATATACTATTAATTTTCATATTGTTTGTTTATTTTGTGTCAGTGGCTGAAGAATATATTTTAATGTACATGATTTCATGATGTATACCTTTATGTTTGTGCAGTGCAAACTGGAGCTCCTTGATATTGGTGGGCCAGTAAATCATGGAACAGCCTTTGGGAGAATTGCATTTTCGTGCCCACGGGAGCAAGTAAAATATGTTTTCATGAATAAATCTTTCTAAATCCTTTAGAAACAATATCATTCATTATTATCATAAATGTAATATATATTGATGACATTCCTCAGCTGCCTGACCTCGAAGCCTTGATGAAAAAAGAAAATCAGAAAGTTCTCACTCCATTAGTCAGCCTGGACACTCCTGGAAAGGCCACAGTAGAAGTGGTTATTTTGGCTGACCCAGTAAGTGCATTACCTAAATAATGTTTAACTCATGTGGAATGAGTCCAGTCAAAAACTGCATAATAGGCCTGTTTGTTGTAGGATGGCCATGAGATATGCTTTGTGGGAGATGAGGCTTTCAGGCAGCTGTCTGTTGTGGAGCCCAAAGGAGATGACTTACTCAATAAGGTTGGTGTTTCTCCAACATTTTACTTTCTACATTAAATATGCAACATGTGTTTAATAGTCACTGTCAGTGCTCTTCATGCTTCTTAACCTGTTTTCAGGCTATGTCCGATGATAAAAGCGATGAGTGGTTTGCCAAGCACAACAGGCAGAAAGCTGCTGCGTGAGATGGAGAATGTTGAAAACTGTGCACCATCAGTTTCTCACCAGTTCAGATGATGATGATGAGATGATGCACATCTTTAGTGTAAATGTTTTTGTAATATATCCTTCAGCTGGCAGTGTGAGATTTACTAACCCCTGGAAGCATGCCATGTATTGCAGTTGCATTGACAGCACTTTGTAAAAGGACCACTTATTTGATTTGATGGATGGTTTTTGAATAAACATGATTTCTATAAAGCAGTGGGGAAAATGTGTTTCTTATTCCTAAAAGTTAAGAAAGGCATCAATATGGGTGAGCAAAATTATGCCCACTGACCCTCCATCAGCTTTCTGAGCAGGATGACGGTGTGAAATAGGCTAAACATGCAAGACCTGTAGTATCTCATGGTTGATTCAGTATAGTGCAAATTCCATATATTTGCAGCTGCAGTAATCAAATTACTATCCCAGTCACACTGCAGCTTACCTTGGGGATTTAGGGGTCAGGGGCCTGGAGCAGTTGGTACTGGAATTCAACCTTTTGTATTATATGCTATAAAACTTAGGTCAAATATGGCATCATGTTGTGAGAGCAGACTGTTAACACATAAAATCATCCGGAGTCATGGAGTAGGTTTAGTCATGTCACTGAGTTTCATCGAATCTTGCTCTTATAAAAATTAGATAGGTAATATTAATGTTACTCGTGCAGTTGAAACTAACCTTCTCCAACTTTAAATCTTTGTAAACTGTTTCATGTAGGTATTTTCTTGCGTGATTTATCTGTATATGTTTTTATTTTTGCTTTAGGAGATGTGTGCGGGCTTTAAGTAAACAGCTGAATAGCCATTTGTTTAATTGCGTAGTTAAAAATTAATATTTGCGCGAACAGCAGCCTACATTTGGCGGTGCTCCAGCTCCTCTCCCACCATCAGGCGCAGATCCCAGGTTCACGTCAAGTGAGCTACTAGCTGAGCAGGGTGAAACCAGAACAGGACCGGGGTGTTTACTCTTATGAGCAGAGTTAACTCTCAGGTGAAACTGCTCCTTTCAGCATTATGCTGTGCAATAAAAACCAAGTACGCTGAATATGTCGGGGTAAGTAAGCTCGACGATTAACTGTAGCTAACGGAAGCCAAATACGGCTAACGTTACAGTGGCTAGTTTGTTACCAAAGGAATGTTAAGTTGTGCTCTAGTCTCGCAGCTAACTTAGCCGTAGCGCTAGCATGCTAGCACAGATTCGCTACTGGGTTATGGATGACACGGCGGCAAGACTCTTTTAACTATTTCGTGTGTGGTTAGTTTGAGCTAACGGTGCTACCCCTTTGAACCGAGTCGATGTTGTGGCACTGGTGGCGAGTTGACAGCATGTACCTGTAGATAATTTCTACGCACTACCGAGTGATAAAGTTTAGCTACGTGTCATTTGTGACTTAACTACACTGTAGTTATTTAGCGATGTTAGCACTGTGAAGCTAGCCGTTAACGTTAGCTCCAATATAAAGAACTAGTTAATGTTTATGACTTTATTGTTTTATAGCATAGTTGTTGCTGCAGCCAGTTACAGTAATAGGCAACTTAGTGATTATTGTTTGCATGCAACCATTTACACGTAGCCTTGAATGTAAGGTGTGTAAGCTGAAGTACATCTCTTCCTGTTTGACAGCAGTTGGTAGCAGCTAGACGTGCAACCAGCCCCATGTCCAAGATCTGGGTGTGAACAGCTTGGTACACCATGTCTCTGTTGCTGATATTCTTCCTTTTCCTTCTCCTGCTTGGGATTGTCTTGTGTGTCTTTTTTAGGTAAGAAATCTGTGGGTTACAGTCTCACTTTAGTATATAAGTGATTGCCAGTGATACTATGTAGGCAGCATGATTTAGAATAAACCACTGCTTTCAAGATTTACCCCAGATGTTTTTTGTCTGTCATTTTCTTTATTTTGGGAACACTTGTAAAAAAAAAGCTAAAATTTGTCCTGTTCTTGTGCTTCTAGGTGGCTTGTATGCACCCTGGCTGTCCGATCCTTCCAGACTGCACTGAATGCTAATCTAAACATCAAATCAGTGGGACTGTTTTCTGTCCAAGGAGTTAGTATCCAGTTTCATCCCCAGCATACTCTGGTAAGTCACACTATGTTTACTTGACATCTATGTGGTGAGCTTATTCAAGGCAGCTGCTCCAATTTCAGGGGTACATGTCTAGCACATTTTCTTGTTTGTTCACTGTTGCAAATTATATCAGCTATACTTTTTTGACTTACTTTACCATAACAGTTGCTCTCTTTATGACAGGAAATTGACAGAATATGGATTTCAAGTAAACTTCTAAACCAGGATTTGCCGTAAGTTGGCATATACAGTATTTTATCGGTAAAATAATCTGAGGTCAACTTCTTGCAGCAAATCATTTGTAAATGTTAAACCCCTCATATACAAAAATATTTAATTTTGTAATTGAGAGGGTTATCTGTGTATTTGTGTTTCAGGAGATACCTGGCATTGTGTGTTGGTGAAACCAGAGTTAGGTTCAACTTGCAAACACCAAAGGATTTCAGTCAGTCCCACAATGCTACGCTTTCTGTCACAAGTATGGAGCCTCACAATTTGTCAGTCTTTAGCAAAACTGATTTTTAGACAGTATCTAATTACCTGTCTTGTGTTTTCAGCTGCTGTCATTTCACATCAGCTCAATTAATGTGATAGTGCTGAACCTTGCACTGTCAGAGTCTCTATGGCACATGACTATCACATGCATCACTTTGTTACTTGACCATCAGAGTAAAAGGTAACTACATCTTTATATCTGTTTGCTGTTTCTGTCTACCATTGACCTGATTGAGCTGTTACTTTTATTCAAACATAGCTGGCATTGTCAGAACGGGGAAAATGCTAAACAGATATTTTTTGAAACACTTTTTAGGTTGGCATGGGACTTCTCAGTTGGACAACTAAGCAGTAAAGTTCTCAAAAGCAGTCAGTTGGTGAGTTTTGTTATTGTCTCCAAGAAAGAATCCTGTCATTGAATGTGTGTGACTAACCTGCTTTCCGCTGTAGGACATATGTTTGGCTGAAGTGGCCCTGAGCCTACTGCTGTCTGGAGATGTGAGTCTACCAGACATGAAGCCAGGTTTTCTGTCCCTGAGTGTGAGGACACTTATAGCAGAGCTGCATGAAGGACTGTTTCTCAGCCAGCTTGCGCTCCCCCCGTCTCCCTCAAAGATCATCCATGATACATCTGTTGAGCAAACTCGAGGTATAATCTCTGATTATTTAACAATACAGAGAAATGCCAGTGATCCGTCAGTCTTGGGATGGTCATCTCTCATTGCCAAGTACGGCTGCTGATTAAAATGTCAGATATTTTATAAGTTATGATTGCTGTCCTTGCTCTGTGCACCTAATTGTAACCCATTGTCCACTGTCGCCCTCTTTTTCAGATGACTAATTTATTTTCTGATAATTGTCACATCAGTTCTTCCAATTTCTGCTGTGTTCTGATTTAACCACTCATGATATAATGCAACAATCCCTCATGAAGTGCCCACAGAGACAGATACATGAGATATTTAAAGAGTTGAGGATGTCATGTTGTTGTCAGTCCACAGTTCAGATCTTTATTGTCCCTCATGAGGAAATTTGATGCACAATAGCAGACAAGGAAAACATGAACACAACATATAGGGGAACAAGGGACATTGAGCACAACAATAACAGTAAAAACAATCTTTGTTAAAAGTGTCCAGTATGGTGCATTTAAGTTCTGCTGAACAGTGCAGACATGACTTGATCCAAACTGAGGATAACCATAAAAACGAAAGTGAAGGAAGGAACAAAAGCAAATCTCCACCTGTTGAATTTCACCTTTTACAAGACCGTCTAACAGGCATCACATTTTGTATAATTTAGCTGATGCATTATATATTTAAAAAGTTGATAAAATAACCACATTTTAAATGTGTTCTCACAGGTATTATTATTTCTTTATATGACTGCAGGTCTTTTGGGACACCAAATAACTCAATGAAAAAATAAATAGTTGATAAAAGTAGAACAAACATGGAAGGTCATCAGTTCTGCACATACAAATACACAGTGACAACCACAAGGGGAAAAAAACAATACATTACTTCACTCAGGTATTCCCATGCAGCAGATATTTTTGGATCATCACAAACCTAAGCTCTAAAGCGTCGTTGCTTGCAACTTTTGACCCTAATTCACAGGATGCTTTATGTTTATAGACACAGTTTTACCAATTCACCAGGTGGCAGATATGTTAAGAGAAAAGAAAAATAGAAGAGACCCAAGGTGATATACATATTACCTATTGTCCCTGTATTATGTTTGATCGATATATTGAATCATGTTTTTTCCAATTATTTAACAGATTTCTTTAGCTGGTATTCTAGTTGAATTATCTGCAGCAGTCTTAGCATTTCTGATATTACTACTTGCATAATATAGTCATTGACTAGTATTCATACTGTTTCCTTGTAGAATGTGAAAGCAGCGAGTTCATTCAAACTGAGGCTGTGGAACGGTTTCATCAGCTGATTCCCCACAAGATCAATGTGGAATTTGATAATACAAATGTAACCCTGTCCATGCACAGCCAGAAAAGGTGAGTCAGCATTTGCCAGCTGCATGCAGTTATTGTTTTGCACAGTTTGACTTTCCCCTAAATTTTATATCAACATTTTATGACGTTTTTCTTTTCCCATGTGCACAGACACCTGAACTGGACTCTGAAGTCTTTAAAGGTCTGCTATGAACGTGATGATGAGCAGCTTCCCCTTAAAAGCTTCTCTCCTGACTTGAGCTTTCCTCAGAGCAGCCTGGAGCTCCGTCTAGAGGGTCAGTGGACAGCTGGGTGCCAGGCACAATGCAGAGAGTTGGGTGAGGGAAAAACCTATGAATAACATGTTCTTGTTGTTTTCTTTTTGATAGATGGACTTCTCCTTTCTCAAAGTAGGCAAAGAATCCTATGTGTGAACACTTTGAAGACAACCCTACAGGTAAGGAAGCCGCTTGCGGTTCACATTTCCTCAAAAAGGCTTCTGACTCATGATTTTGACTTTGTTCCTTTGCGTTTTTGTACACTTAGGTCACATCAATGGACATCTCGGGGTCATTCACAGTCAACACTTGCATCATCCACTACCGCCACCAGGAGTTCTCCCATTGGCTAAATCTATTTCCATGGGAACAGCTAATCCACCGGAAGGCAGCACATAGAAAACGGTAAGTTGCAAAATCAAAACTCAAACTATAGTTGTGAGTATTCATGTTAACCAAATATTTTCTCTAACGAATTGAATCTGTTTTGCCTGACAAGAAACCACTTTTCTGCTGTGACAATCGTAATCAATACATTATACTAGTTTCTCTTTCTTGCCCATGTGTGTTATGTGCATCGGTCATTCTGTATTGTTTTTCCAGCTTATTCTTTTGTGTAGTCCATTAGATTATTTGCCCACCATCTGTTTATTTAGGCACCTCCCTCAACTGGATGCTCCTGTGATGATCACCTCCTCTATTTCCAACATTAATGTATCTGTTCAGCTGGGAGACACCGCACCTTTTGCTCTTGGCTTCCTGTCTGCCAGTGCAGGTACTGTAAGTCTGTTACATGCTACACAGATCTACATACAGACAAAGGCAGGTGAACATCATATGATATTATTGCTACACTGTAAAGTCAGGGCTTTGTGTTACAATATCCATGGCACCCTGTGGTAAGCAGTAGCACTTTTTTTGTTTTTTTACAACATGTGCAGTCCTGTACAACACATTTTTCTGGATAAACCCATGGTTTTTATTCTGTACGCAACTATTTGATCAGTTTTTTTTCCCAAATATACCAAACAGATTAGATAAGTTCTTTCCTTAAATTGCCCTTGTTAGTGTTACACATTAACTTATTCTCCTTTTTCCACTGTTGACATTTCATATTGTTTTGTTCAGAGTAATGGTTCATTTCCACCAGATCCAGCTGCATTATGTTCTGTCCATGACATGGTTCTGATCCATTCTCTGTGTGGAGTGTTGTTCTTATTGTTGTTCTTATTTCCTACCGGGTGTGTCTGCAGAGCAGCTCATTGTGGTGTTGATTTTATGTGTAGGCTATGTGTTTCCTGGATTTTGTGCTTCTACAGTCAGCAGGCTTTGTAATGGTGTCTTTTTGTCTGTTGTAATTATGTTTATTGTTCTTATTTCCTACTTCTGCTGTCATCTACAGACAAAGACTACAGTTAGCAGTTAAATTTAACAGTTACAGTCAAGTTGCTATGAAACTAATCAGAGATTTGTGGCTGGGTTTCAGTTTGTTAATACATTCATCCTCGTAGGCTAATCAATTCATAGCCTGTCTGTGTTTCACATAGATATCTTTTGGGAAAAGTGCTATTTGAATGGCTTAACCTTTTGTCAGATGCAGTATCCGTCAAAAATAGACTTGATGCGTATCTTTAGCGAAGTGCTCCAGAGAGCCGCATGTGAGACAGATTGGAGATGGAATGCAGCCAGAGCCTATGGAGCAAATTTCAGTATTACTACCCAAAGTAAAATTGACTGCATCCTCTTCATGTCTGTAGAACTGCAGCATCTCCTTGACATTAAAGTTGACAAGGAGGGCCCAGAGTCCCAGAATGTGCATCAGCGTGCCTCACTGTGCCTGGACAACTTCTGGTGGAGAGTGGGTCAGGGGTCTCATATCCAGCAAGCACCCCACCCTCCGGGTAAACATGTGTGGGGGGAGGCACTAATTCTAGACTCTCTCAGTCTTCAGGTAGGAAAACAAATTATTAGAAAGCATATACAAACTTGTGTTATTTATAATGATTATTTAGATTCATTCCTACACTTTAAATAAAGATATTGTGGTCACTCAAATCATATCAAGGACATACAGCTGAACTCAGCTTTTTATCAATAACTATCTTAAGAGTTGTTTCCTCCCAGAAATTCTTTCACTGCATGATTATTGGGGGGAAAAAATCTTTGATTTCCCCAGTTTTTCCACTGCACATTAGATTAAAGATACAGTGGAACCTCGGTTTTCGTATGCCTTACTTTTTGTACGATTTGGTTTTCAACAACTTTTTTCGTTGAAATTTTGTCCCAGTATCCACTCGGTTTTCGTACAGTTGATTGGTCGGTTCAGCGTCATTAGTCCGTACCAAACTCGTTCCGCCTGCCCGCCTGACTCGGCCACTCATTTCCCGGAAGAAATGAGTGAAGGGAAGTAACCTCAGATTGGGCCTTGATACATGAAGTCCTTATGGAGGGGGATTCCCCTTCCAAACAATAACCTCCCCTCCTCACCATCCTCCATACAACAAGAGTCTTCAATAAAGGTAAAAATGATGTTAAATGTTCATTTATCCATTTCATTAGTCATTTATATTTATTTCTCATTGTTTCCTGTATGTAAAAATATAGTTATTCTCTATAAAATTTATTTTTTGTTAATATTTTTGGGTGTCTGGAACGGATTAATTGGATTTACATTATTTCTTATGGGAAATATTGCTTCAGTTTTCGTATGATTAGGTTTTTGTCGGACTTTTTCGAACGGATTAATCACGAAAACCGAGGTTCCAGTGTATAACATTAACATACTGTATATTCTTTACAACAAAAGCAACAAAACGGAAACATTTTGGTATTATTTATTAAGAAGTTAACCCTTAAAAACTAAAGCTAATCTGCTTTATCAGGATTTGGTGCATGGTTTAACTGACAGCAGTCTGGCAACGTGAGGGAACAACCCTACAACTCGCCAAATGCTGACTCAAATGTGACTAGAGTACTGTTAATATGAGGTGTGACCAGCCAGTTCCTTATCCATGCTTGAGAAGAGTGCAGACAAAGACAGTTACCCAACAGAATTCTCATTTCAGATGCAGTCTGAAGGCCTTTGAATAAGTTTCAGGTTAAGACGAGTTTTTAGTTTGATTAGCTGAGAGTATTTATTGGTATACTTGATTGCTAATGTTCTTTTACTTTTAATCTGTCTGTTTTCCAGGGGAGTTTCAACCGACCCTGCATGGAGTCAAGTAGCCACTTTCCAAGTTTGAGTGTGGAGTCCCGTCTGAAAGGCCTTCAGGTTGAGCTTTCAGAGACATGTGCACTGTGTCTGTCTCGCCTGTTGTTCCTCATCTCTATTCCTCCTGACACTAGGCCACAGCTGTCTGATGTGGCTGCAGTGTCTCCCTCTAGTGATGAAACTGTGCCACCCATGTCCACCTCACAGCTACATCTACTGTTTAAACTGGATTGTTGTCTGGAGGATGTTAACGTGTTCACACGCTCTAATCTGGCAGGTCAGAATTTGCATAGTGTTGTATGTCGTTCTGTTGGCTTTTATAACCAAGTCATTATGTGGAATGCATTTATATTGTATTTCATAATTGTTTCAATGAAAAGCCATGTCCTAAAGATAGCATTTTAGTTACATTCTTTTTGAAACATTGTAGTCTACAGGGACTATGTGACTTCTGTAGAGCTGTAACAATAAGGCATAAGGTAAAATTGACAGAAAACGCATTACAACTGTTTTTATAATCAATAATGGTTTAAGTCATTTTTCAAGGAAACATGTCAAATATTCTATAGTCCCAGGTTCTCAGTTGTGAGGATTTTTTTGTTTCAAGTGCCAGTAAACTAAGTATATTTGAGCAAACTGAAGTAGGTACATGTGAGAAACACAACGGACACAAACCACTGTACACACACACACTGGTACAATGAGTCCACATGGAATAAGCCCAGACAGTTTCTCAAACACTTATTCAGTGGAAATTCTGATGTACAGTAGCAGGCAGATGAGTTTATGGTTTTAATAATGACTTTTACAGCTACAAGGGCAAAAGATATTTAAAAGCTCTCCTTACTAATCATCATATAATAAACATGACTAGGCGACACTTAACAGTGGCTTTGCCTTTCCTGGCAGATCATCATCCATAATAGTGTCTGTGTGTTCTCTCTCCAGGTGCCAGTGTTGCTGTGGTATGCTAGCAAAACCTTTAACAGTTTATAAACCCCCTTTTATTTTCTGATAATTTGAAGTGCTCCCATACTCTTGAAGCCTATGGTCTCTGGAAACTTTTACATTTAACCTCTTTTGTAAACGAGTCATTCTCCACTGACTCTGCTGCATTCGCCATGATGTTCTAAAACTGTAGCGTGTACTGGAGCCAAAAATGACTAATGTAAGCTTGCAGCAATTACATAGTGATCTTCTTCTGTTAATTTTACTGGTGATTGACAACAAGCTATGTAGTGATAGTGAATAAAAAAATTTGATTTAATGAATGATTGAAACATTTTATAAGTCAAAAGAGCCCCCCAAAAAATGCATCGGTTAAAATATTGATTTTGACACATTTTCAAAGTCAACATAATCACAGTAGCCAAAATTTGAAGGTGTAAAATCGGACTTGAGGAAATTTTGATGGGTATTTTTCACTATTTCCCTGATAATCGTAGACTAAACAACTGAGGAATTAGCAGAAAAAATGATTTCTACTGGCAACATTAGACTTCTGCTGAGCTGTAATACATCATAAACAGTGACCAATAGTCTGACATTTATTAGATTAAGGAAAACCAATGGCCAATAAAAAAGGAGTGAGCAGGCCTTTGCACTCATCAATGCCCTTTTGCATCTTCATTATCTTGTGATGCCAAACACCATAGCATATACAGTATGCAGTTTTCTCATCATCTTTCACTTTTTGTTTACTTGTGTTCTCTTTAGGAGCTGTGTCTTTGCGGATGGATAGTGTGGGAGTCCTGGGCTCTGCTGAGAGCTCCAGGCTGTCTCTGCAGGGTGTTAGCTTGTCTGTGATCAGGATGCTTACAGAAAATATGGAAGCATGTTGCCCTGCTTGCCAAACCCCCAAACCTGTGCTTAAAGTCAGCACAATAGCCTTCTGTTACCACGTCACCACCAATACCTTACAGGTAATCAGATCTTCAGATTTATTTCTCTGACTTGAATGATTTTCTGTGCTACTATCAGGGTATCCAGTGGTCCATAAAAAGTCTTTAAATGTCAGAAATTAGATTTTTAGAATTTAAGTTTGGAAAAGGTCCTATTATTTTAATCGTGAACAGTCTGTCAAGTTGATGCAGATAATGCTGGCAGATGAGAAATTACGTCAATCACCAAAATGAATGTTACATTGTAAAATATAAGTCCTGTTATTTTTCCAAATCAGCCATGTTTTTTGTTTTTTTTCCCCCCTAAAATTATTGTGGGCAGTTGGGTCAGTTCTGCACAGACTGCCACCTGTTCTCTCAGTCTTTTTACTGTAGCAGGGTTCGGGAAACAGATGTATCATTTACCAGTGATGCTAAGCTAAGCTAAGCACAATACTTTACTCTGTTATTTGTTTGATATTAGCTAGGATTTGGACATCTTTGAATTTAGCATGGCGCTACAATGTAACCACCGAATGTGACATGCTGACTAATGGGAGACAGAACCTGACCTTTTAAACCAGTGACTGCTTCAGCAGGTGTTTGTTTCAAAGGCAATGACAAAATGTTAGTACAAATAAGTTCAGAGCTGCGGAGGCTAATGTGAATTATTGAATAAGTTTCACTGAACAGATATAAATGAGATGAGGAGAGGAAGAGAGAAACATCAGGGGAGAGTAAGTGAGCATACAAACCTCACACAGTTCGGTAGCAACAGATTTATATGAGAGAGGGAGTGGAGTGTTTGTGTGTGGTGTGTGAGGGTTATGTAAGCTTTGGTTTTAGATGTGTCAAATGTTTTCTGTAATGCACAAAGGTGGAACACAGTTCAATTGAACATTTTGATGATTATATTTTGATCATTTTGAATAGATTTGTTACATAGAGATAAATATAACTACTAGAAAAACATTTTAACATTTCATTAAGATTAAAGGTGTCACTTAGCCCTTGTGTTCATTTTTTTTTTTTGGCAGACAAAGGGCCTTAAATTTTCCTTGAAGGTCTAAAAACATCTTTAAAAGCATTTGATTTTATTTCAGCAGGTGCAGATACCCTGCAATGTTCATATTTTGTGTCGCCATGTCTTAATCAGGTTCAGTGTGAAGAGGAGCTCACTGTTGAATGGACACCACCAGATCACATGGTCTTGTATCAGCACATGACTGAAGCTCGGGCTTGTTGGTGTATGCTTTATGGAGATAAAGGAGAAGTGGACAGTCCCGTCAAACCTACAGAGAGTGAAAGTGCTTCAGGTCAAAGTAGAGGGTTGTGTCTGCGTGTTGAACTGGGCTGTACTCGTTTAACAGCCCATGTTAGTGAGAAGAACTTTATTCTCCTGCACACAGATGCCCTTTCAGTTTCCAAGCATGCTGGCTCCATGCACATACGGTCTCCTTCTCTGGTCTTTAACTTTGACGGCAACAACATAGTCTCCTTTAAAGGCCTAGATGTGGAGACGCACCCAGAGCTGACTGAGATGCAGCTGCGCAGAGACACTTTCCCCTTCCTCACCATTCCTCACAACAGTGTCTGGGTTCTTACTTGCCCATACCTGGCTGTCGAATTCCCCTACCAGTACAATTTCTCAAACACCTTTGACTTGGCCATCAGTGTGCAAAAGTGGCTGAAGACTTTGCATCGCTCCCCAAGTCAGGCCTCTGCCATCCAGCGTCTGCCTCCTGACCTTGTGTTTAAAATTAGCCAGTTCTCCTTTGTCTTCCTGGATGACATCTTTGAAATCAAGCTGCGAGACAACTATGAGCTAATGAAGGACGAGAGTAAAGAAAGTGCAAAGCGTCTACAGCTTCTGGATAAGAAGGTGGCAGATCTGCGCAAGCAACATGGAGAACTTCTGCCTGCCAGAAAGATAGAAGAGCTCTATAGTTCACTGGAGAAAAAGCACATAGAGATCTACATCCAGCGTTCACGCCGCCTCTATGCAAACACACCCATGAGGAAGTCTTTGCTGACATGGACTGTGTCAGACTTGGAGCTGGTAGTCCTGGCTGATCAGTCCCTTCATGGACCTGAGAGGGTTAGAGAGCAGCTGAGGAACATTGATGGGATCAGTCCCTTTCCCAGAGATGGACTTCCTCTCGTGGTCCAGTGGTGCCGTGCAGTCAAATTTAAACTGGCTGCATTTTTGGGTAAGCAAGACTGAACTGGACCAAACTAATTAAAGGCATTATACTTTAGTTTTAACATAGCATATTCAAAAATGTCTTACCTTTTTACTGTGGTTGCTTTGTGTCAGTGAGAATTCGAGACTACCCTCGCTACCTATTTGAGATCCGGGACTGGGAGCTGTCGGGCCGTCTGATTGGGACCGAACAGGATGGACAGGCAAGAGCTCAACGCAGAGAGATTATCCCACTTGGTCCACCATGGGGAGATGTGACAGTTCACAGGAATATGCCACCACTAAAGTTCTACTATGATTTCAAATGTGAGTTTTAGATAGAACAGTGCTGCATATATGTAAAACAATCCTCTCCAGTGCTGTCTTTTACATGTGGAGGTTAATGTTTTAATATCAGTTCCCCTGAAAATCCCATCCATCTCTTCATTATACCTGATCAGTCACAGTCACAGCTTTTGAATGAGCAGTCACATCTGACCAGAACTAAACTTAAAAGGCAGAAAATGGTATCTGGGCTGAGAGAAACCTTACATATGCCATATGCAGTATAACAATAATTGTAGAAAAATAGGCCAGGTTCTTCGTGGCTGTTGTAGCTGCTTTCCATATTGTAAAAGCAGAAAATGCATATTTGTAAAATGTTAACAAAGATAACAGCAAAATGCAACTTTGCAGCAGCAATTGTTGTAAAGTTTGTGCATGAAATAAAACTATGAAACTATTTTGTTTCATGAAACAAAATGATTGATTGCTGTGAATCAGTTTTGAGCTAAAATGGTCCTAATCATAATTTTAGCCACAGTTTTGCAGCCTTAATGTTGTGTAATGTCAGGTTCAACATTTAAAATGGATGTCTCACAATCAGGAGTGTTATGTTGTCTGTTCACAGCTAACATCTCTCTCTACACGATTGTGTGGGGACCGTGTTGGGACCCTGCCTGGACTTTGATTGGGCAGTCAGTTGACCTGCTGACCAAACCCACAGTTGATCCCTCACCTCTTTTGGCCTGGTGGGATAAGAGTCGTCTCCTGCTGCATGGGCGCTGGGTCATGAACATTGATCAGGCCAATCTACATCATCTAGCTACGGAGGTAAACATGATGCACCTAGCAGTCTCAGCTGTTGTGATATGCCTGTAGATGAAGAGGTTATGTTTGACTAAACATCTTTTCTGTTGGCGATAATCAGCTTGCTAATCATCTTTTAGCCCACCCACTTTGAAACTATTAATTTTCCTTATTTTTACATTTTAGTCTCTGTGTAACAGAGCTATGTAATGCTAAACCAAATTTCATTAAAACTGTATTGTAAAGTGTAAGTTTGCATTCTTACAGGACCCCTACAACACTACAGAAAACCTGCACTGGGAGTGGATTAAGCTGAACTTTGACTGGAACCCTGGGCAGTTTGTTTTTAAAGGGGACTTAGATGTAAATGTTAGGACAGCATCAAAGTAAGTGGAGGCATTAGAAGTCACTGTTGTAGTTAACTGTAATTATTAGCTGTATTTGTAATGCCAGTGCCTTTTTTTCATATTAGGTACGATGATATCTGTTTCTTGCACCTGCCCAACCTCTGTATGACCCTCGACCTCCAATGGCTTTGCCATGGTAATCCTCATGACCACCATGCTGTAGTGGTCTGCTGTGCAGACAACGTTACAGATGTGACCTCAGGACAACCTCATGACTCCTACAGAGCCTTCCGCTCTGAGAATCTCAATCTCTCTATCACCATGGACCTTAACCAGCACTCTGACCCAGGTATGTGCAAGTCTAATAGGCACAATATGTGGAGGCCTATAGAAGTCTTTAAAAGCTTTGAATTCAGTTTCCTCAAGAACAAGAAGGGCACTGAACAGTGTTAAAATTCTTTAATGCAATTAAATGTTTTCTGTTATAAGTAACTAAAATTAGACACATTCAGTCATGGACAAAAGTATTGTCACCCCTGCATTTCTGTCAGATAACACAGCACTTCTCCCAGAAAATTGTCGCAATCACAGGTTCTTTGGTATTCTAAGCTAAATCAGATACATGCCACGCAGAACTTGACAAAAAAAAATTCCCCACTCACCCCACATCAGGGCAGTCTTATTCCTTTCTTCAAGCTCGGCCTGGGAGCTTGAGGATCCTGCGCAGTCTCTTAGCTGTTCCTTGGACTGCACTCTTCTGGACAGAGATCTCAGATGTTGTTCCTGGGATCTGTTGGAGCCACTCTCCCAGTTTGGGGGTCACAGCCCCCAATGTTCCCATTACCATGGGGACCACTTGTGCCTTCACCTTCCACATCTTTTCTAGCTCTTCTTTCAGCCCTTGGTATTTCTCGAGCTTCTCGTGTTCCTTCTTCCTGATGTTGCTATCGCTTGGGATTGCTACATCTATCACTACGGCCTTCTTCT